CAGTGTTAAAGATAAGCCAACAGTGGATAGGTTTATACAGATGAACAGGGGCATTAATGATGGAGGAAATCTGCCAGAGGAACTTTTAATAGTAATGTGCCTTAGTTTATCAGTTTTTTTATGTTAGCTTTCATATACATAACAAAAACAACCAAGAGAACTGTATGTTAAAGTGATTATAGTCTTTATGAGTTTTATTAATATTGACAATAATGGATTCTCATGCTATACATTTGTTGTAAGGCTTCATAATTGCGTAGAATCTTTCTTGTGAGTTTCTCGCAACCATTAATCTAGAATCAGGATGTAGTTTAGTATTTTAGTGTATTTCATGACATTCTTGGAGCTTGAATGTGTTGTATAAATCTTTTGGAACAATTTTATTTATAATAAATGTAAAACAAATTTAATTTAATAATGATTAAATAATTCTGAAAAATTATACCGTCAAACCAGAGTTTTCATTTAGTGGCCAATCTGCTTTTAATTATTTTTTTCCCCCAAAGATATGCATAAACTATCTAATTTCTAGGAAAATTTTTAGATCCCTTTCCTCTTTCCAAATTTTTCCTTCTACCCATTAAAAAAAACACATGCTAATAGTAGGACTTTACAAATCTGTAGGTAAAGTTAGGACAACAATTTTTTTTTAATAAATATCTGTTTAATGTCCTCCAGCTATCAACAGCTATATTAACTCTTTCTCTCCGTAATTATTTACCACATTCTGGTGGAATCAACGTTGGTATCATCTGTTAGGAGAGAAAGAGTTAACTCATGCTTTTTAGGGCTCTGTGTTGTTTTTATCAAAATTTTTTTTTAAAATGTAAAAGATTATAATTACTTGGACCTTATATAAAATGTGAAGTGATTATTCTTGAGGTTTAGAGATGAAAAAGTATCTCGGTGGGACAGCCTACTCATTGTATAATCGTAGGTTGTTTGTTAATTATTAAACTATAAAGTTGAGCTGAAGGATACTTAATATGTTTAGTAAGTGATTTGTTTTATTTTTTCACTCTAGAATCTGTATGACAATATTAAAAAAGAACCTTTCAAAATCCCTGAAGATGATGGCAATGATCTCATGCATACATTCTTCAACCCTGTCAAGGAAGGCTGGCTTAATAAACAAGGTAAGGAGATAGATTCTGGTAGCGTTTATAGATTCTGGTAGAGTTTATGGATTCTGGTAGAGTTTATGGATTCTGGTAGAGTTTATAGATTCTGGTAGAGTTTATGGATTCTGGTAGAGTCTCTTACATCAACATCTTAACACCTGGAAATACATAGAATGTAATAATCCTGCATTCATAACATAATGTGTATCAACTATATTTTTTAGTATGTGTATTGGTTATACCATCTTGAATATGTTTCTCATTCACTTTTGATTTTTTTTTTTTACTCCAGGAGGCAGAGTGAAGAACTGGAAACGTCGATGGTTTATTTTGAACGACAATTGTCTTTATTACTTTCAGTATACAACAGTGAGTAGTTGTTTTTTTTTAACAGCCTCTCAGCTAAGTGCTGTTTTGATGTCCCAAAAATCAGCTTGTGCACGATGATTAGATTGATGCACAGATGTAGTCTAGTAAAGAAAAAATATGCAACATAAAACATAAATACCTTTCCCTCACCTATGTCCACAGCTATGCAGCTGTTTGAGACAAACATCCATAAAAAAGCCAAAAAGATTCTAGAAATAAAAAAATCACCTTTTTACCACCACAAAAGAGATACAAGACACTGATAGCAAAGACAAACAGACACAAGCACTCTTTTGTTCCCCTGGCAATCAAATCATTAAATAAAAACAATCTGATATAAACTTTGTCACATGTAAATTATGAGTGAGTCTGGTGTGAATGTAATTTTGTTTTTTTATAGTTAGAATGTTTTGTTTGGTGTAATGCACAAATTGTAAGACAAATTTCCTTATGGACAATGACAATAAAGATTATTATTTTTATTATATGTGTGATTTGCTTAAAATGCCCAGAGAAAACTTATAATACAACACAAATGTAAGGATGTTTAAAAATGATAGCAATACTAAGGAAAAGATATTTAAAAGTAAATACCATAAATGGAACACTTTTGTATGACACACTGCACCTGTGAATTAGTTGTTTACTTAGAGATATATGGTCCATAAAATGGACTTTGTTTCTCTTGAATATATTTATACAATTTATTTTAGATATCTTATTTTTATAAGAAAAATCATTGTTTGTGAATTCATTCAAATAATTAGATGTCATTACTTTGATCTCCAACAGGATAAAGAGCCTAAAGGAATCATCCCTCTGGAAAATATCCAAGTGCGGGAAGTCACCAATGAAAGGTCAAGGCCTAACAGCTTTGAGCTCTTCTCTCCGGGTTCAACTGACATTATTAAAGCATGTAAGGTGGACTCGGATGGCAGGGTTGTGGAAGGTCGTCACAATGTGTACAGAATGGCAGCTAACACTGTGGAAGACAAGGAGGAATGGATCAACTGTATCAGGTGAGTTAAGACTTTAATGGAATACAAAACTAATTAACTAATATAAGCAAGACTAGACATGGTTCATTAAAACATTTTGCGTACATTTCATGCTGTGCACCAATAATGTCAACATTTGTCTTTCTGTTCCTTCAGATCAAGTATCAATGATAATCCATTCTACGACATGCTGGCTGCCAGGAGAAAAAACGCAACCGGCTCAACAGGGAGACCAAGATAGCAGCTGACCTAAATATCAGTTGGATACAGCAACTGGGTACAAGTTATTATCTCTGCTTAGCAGTTTGGTTAATGTATTGTAACAGTGGACAACAAGTGATGGATGCACTGTGTGAGTGTATGTCAAATAATAGATGCGCTGTGTGAATAGATACCAAGTGAGATGCTTGACTTTTTTTTTCTTCTGAATTTTGGTTTTTATCATTTCAAGCATAATCTGAATCAATGCCATGGCTTAATTGTTTGTGTGTTGAGTTCACTAAAGGAGCTTTAAGAATTCTTTGAACATTTGTATTTATTTGTATTTTAAAAGCTGAAAAACACAAGTCTGTATTAACTGACAATTTGCTCTGTAATGCTATTTAAGGCCTAAAGTCAAAGTGTGTAAAAAGTTAGTCTCCCCCTTATCAACTGTTTTTTTTTTTTTAACTTTTTTTTTGTTTTAATGTTTTAGTTGACACTGTTTAAGATAGCTGCCGTGCTCTAGTCACAGTTCCTCAGTTGACAATTGTGTTATTTTAAATAAAAACTTGGTTGTGAAACTTTCAAATCAAGAGACAGAAAAGATGCTAAAAATAATGTTAATATCCACATTGTGTAATTTTAATTTAATCGAATCCCCCCATGACAAAACAAAACAAATAAAATTGTAAAGATTTTATCAGACTGCCATTGGCCCTTGGGTCACAAATTCACATGTTTCCTGTGTAGGTGTTTTTACTACCAATGTTTTTAATTCAATGATTCTTATGTATTTTAATTTGTATGGTACAATCAGATTGTCTGGTGTTTTAATTAGTGGTTAGGGGATGGGAAAGATAAAAGAGATGCGTATTAGTGGATGTCTGTTTAGTATCTGGTTTGATAAACTATGATAGAAAACTCTTGACTTCGGGGAACAAGTATTTAATTGTTTTAATGGGTTTTTTCTTATATTTAGCAAACTTCAATCTTATTTCTGTAGGTAGTGACAAATGTTAGATTGTTCATTTCACAAAATGTATTTATTGAACATATCTCTAGAAGATTGAACTCTATGTATTTATATTTGAACTCCCTACAAGTGGACACTTCCTACTAGTCTTCAACTCTATTTGTACAATATCCTTTTTCTGCTACACTAGTGACATTCAAGTATTAGTTTTGTATTTAACTATCTGTTTGAGGTAAGTTATTTAAGGTTTTCAACAGTTTTATGTCTCAAAGCTAGAGAGAATATAATTCTGTCGTCAATTATTCAGTTTTGATGTACTGAAATTGTAGCTTACTTTTTCGTGGTTCAGATCAATGTGTTCTTGGTCTCCCCCCCAATTTTTCCCCATACTTAACTCCTAAAAATCCATGGTTTTAATTTTAATTGGAAAGGTCAAAGTTGAGAACTGTTGGATTTGGATTGTTTTATTTACCATGAATATCAACTACAATATTTGTTGCTGTGAACTACACAGTACGCAATGACTTGTCTTCAGGAACTGAGGGAGTCTCGAATATGGTACCATTAAGACTAGGACTCTGAACTTGTTGGATTTTTAGGATGCCCTGAGTCCAGATAAGTCTAATGGGTACCTGACATATTCTGAGGAAGTAAAAACGGTTGGTTGATTGCTGGCCACATGGCACCCTTGTCAACCCTCAGCCATAGAAATAGATTAGCTTTACGTTATCTGTCCCCATAGATTGCAAAGTCTGAATGGGGTACCTTCAAAAAGGTTTAGATATTTTGTTTGCATAGCCAAGAGTATTGTAGGACATTTTTGGTTCATTTTTTTTTAAATTTGGACTTCAACCATAATGATCCAAGCATTATTAATGTATTTATGGTACTGACATCTATGCCTTGCGTAGACTGCTAGCATGCCACCACTAGTGTATATAATTGTGTACATAATTGGCTCGTGTTGCATGAGATCTCTTTTTTTTTTCCCCCAATCATCTCTTAGTGTACATATGTCAGTATGGATGTCCTGTACATAGTCAACTCTTATCATAAACTAATAGTGCTATATATACTGTACATAGAAACTCAGTGTCTATACTTATATTGTTTACTTCCTTCCCCTCCCTGTGTCACAGTGCCTTGAAGGCAAGTTATCCTCTTCATTTTGTTTACAACTGTGTTATATAGGTTAGTGTGATCTAGTCCACAGTGCTCATCCTGTACAATAATTTGGTGGGGGTCAAGGTTGAAGCCTTGGCCTTATTTTTCATGACTTGTCTCAAAGCTTCAGTTGCCTGTTATTTATTTCTATTTTGATGCACATTCTAAAACAACTGCTTGCTCTCTCCGCATTGAGTTTTCATCAGTTTTATTTTGTTTTGCTGCTGTTTTTTAAGTTTTAATAGTGTTTGTGTTTACTTGCCAAATGATAGTTCTTTCTAGATTGTTTTAAAAGTTGTGTCTGAGTGGCACATTAACATAAGAGCTTGGTCATTTTATTTTTAACTACAAAGTAAGCTTTTTTTTTCTTAAAGATATCACTTTTTGAGAATCACTTTTATGTATGATCAAATGATTTGTTCTTTTTAGTTGAGCCCAGCCTTAGCTGGGTAAATGAACTAGTAATTATCTACCTTTAGAACAAATATGTACAGAATAAAACATTATCATTTAACTGTGTTACTAGATCAATTATCATGTATCACTTCCTCCATCAAGATCACATTATTTAACTATTATTGATTGTCCACTGTAAGAATCAAACTCTCATTCAAAGTGTGGAGTAAATTCATCTCACATTGTCTGCAAGGTTCAAATCAAAGTCAAGTCTAGAACAAAGTCCCATGTTTGAGCTAATGTATCAGTTATCTTACACCCCATTGGTTGGTGCTGCTGTTATGTTATCTTACACCCCATTGGTTGGTGCTGCTGTTATATCACCTCAAAATAATACTCAAAATTGTTTTTTTTCATTAGTCACACTATCTTTCCACTCATTGCAAGCATTCTATTTAGAACAATCACGGAAATGTCATGCTAAATTTACTTGTAGTCAAACTTGTACTATTAAAATATATAATCTGATTCAAATGTTTTTCTTCTTAACCATTAACTTAACAGTTTATCAGAATATTTGTTTACTGCAACAACATGTATTTTGGACAAAAGATTCTGAAAAGCAAACATAGTTTTGACTAATTTGTCATAAAAAAAATGTGTTTCATATTTTTAATTTTAACTATAACACTAACCTTCACCTTGTTCTAAAGTATCATATCACATGCAATAAGACTTGCTGAAAAAATCATTTGAAGGAAAACTCCTTCCTAAACATATTTCCACTTGGCCTAGTTTTTTACATTTGTATTAAGCCCATGCCTGAATAGAATATACTGTTGAAAACAAACAAAATAAATAAAAACAAAAAAACAGTTAAATTATTCATCTTTTACTTTAATAAATGTTAATTATTATTACCTACATTATTTCTAGGCTGGTAGGCTGATTTGGCTATAGCATATTACTTTGTTGCCTTTAGTTCACTTCATTTTTTTTTATTTAAAAAAAGTTAATGTACATTTCTTTCTTGTTCTTAATATTTTTAAAAAATTAGGCAGGAGTTTCACTTTCAGCAAGTTATCATCAAGTTCAAGTCCTTAGTTGTTTGAGATCAATAGATGGGACATATCATAGTGTGTCCACAAACTATCTTGTGGTCAGAGTCGTCTCTTTGGAGACGTTTATTTATTGTAACAACTTGGGTTTTCTACATTTGGCAGCACCAGAACATATATAGATATCATTTTCAATCCATGTATGTATTTGATTTTAGAAAATATTTTCAAACTACAATTGTATTCAGTATGTACCGGTATATAACCAGATCAACTAGTTGCTAGCCAACTCTTGGTCATAATGAATAAATGTTTGCTGTTAGATTTCATTTCTTACCATAGCGTGTGTATACTTCTATTGTTATTCCTGTGTACAAATCACCTCTTCTGTCTCCTTTCATTACTGGGACCTGACATCAGTGCAATAGAACCAGAGGAATACTTGTTTGAATTCTGGCAAGCTGGTAGCATGTCATGCTCATGGTCTAGAATTCAAATGATCACCATCTGCAGGTGGTGATGGCCAGAGACCTAACTTCCTTCTAGTAACTTACCATGTACAAACTTGTATGACCTATTTCAAGATATGAGAAACTTACTACATGTAGATAATCTCTACACAGATGTATGGCAGACTTGTTACAAACTTCTGGTCAACTACAGTCAGTCAGTGTAGATCTGTGTAACTCCCTTCTTTCAACAATTATATTTATCCTTGCCACAGTATTGAATAAATATTGGAAAGTCTGTGTTTTGTTAAGCTCTTAATTCACAAAAATCTATGTTTATAAAGCAGTGGTTCTCACCGTATTTTTATATGACGAAACCTGGTAGCTCTATAAAAGGCTTCTTGAGCGCTTCCATCAAAAGTGGGCATACGCTGGCAAGACAACATTACAAACAACCATGCTTTGCTGGAGGGTGGTGTGGACAGTATAGAAGCAGTTATTACCATTTGACAGCTGTGCTGATGGTTGACAGTAGGCGACCGCATGCCAAAGACAATGCTCTTTGGCAAGCTTACAGGAAGATGGCGTTACAGAGGTGCCCATCATAAATGCTATAAACTGGGTTCATCTCGTTCATAACCAATTTCAATAATGATTTTCCAGGTTTTCAGGGTTAAAAAGTTGGGATTTTCAAGGTGTAGAAAAAGTAATAAGTAGAAAAATATCATTTCTCATCTAATTTCAAAAAGTTATTATGTGAGTGACAGAAACATTTGAAATATAAGGTTCATAAAACCAGTGGATTTATTATGATAAATGTAGACCTAGATCTATATAGTTTTTTTTTTTTTTGATAAACCTATTGGAAAAGGAAGGACCTAAATTAAAGATAAATGATGCTTTTAATCTCTTTCATACATAGTAGATCTTTTTGTGTATCTTTTTTAGCGGCCTCCGAAAGGGGAAAAGACGCTATTAGTTTTGTGTGAGATGTCTGTCCGTCCGTCCCGTTTAGATCTCGTAAACTAGAAAAGATATTGAAAATCCGACATCACAATATTTTAGACCATTCAAAGTTCTGATGCAACGGCTACTTTTTTTTTTCCTGAAAGCGAAAAATCTAATTTTTAAAATCAGTTATGCAAGCAGTTTTTTAAAGTGAAAAAGCTAATTAGTATGCATTATAAAATAGACCTAATTTAAAACGAATAATAACCTTATAAACTTCATTTTCTTGTAAAATGTTATCTATAGCGGAAATGTTTTGGTTTGTTGTTTGAGGATTCGAATAAGAGACTAAGCCTTTTCAAAACAATTACATTACTTATAAGACTTCTGATAGGCCATGAGAGGCGCGGTAGCTGAGCGGTAATGCGCTTAGCTTTCGAACCGAGGGTCCCAGTTTCGAATCCTGGTGAAGACTGGGATTTTCAACTTCGGTATCCTTGGGCGCCTCTGAGTCTACCCAGCTCTAATGGGTACCTGACATTAGTTGGGGAAAAGTAAAGGCGGTTGGTCGTTGTGCTGGCTACATGACACCCTCGTTAACCGTAGGCCACAAAAACAGATGAACTTTACATCATCTGCCCTATAGACCACAAGGTCTGAAAGGGGAACTAGTTAGGCCAGGTTCACATCTAACTTTGCATCCACTTGCACCTATCCTTTGATCTGCTGCACCGTTGGGGCACTACACAAGATCTGTCAACCTTTTTTCTCCATTCTTTTCTCTCATTTGTCTTTGATATAATTTCATTTGGATGTTCTTTCTGAAAATATTGAAGCCTGCCTGGGTGGACCACTTCGGGGGCCGATTTTGAGTTTGTGTTTCCACACAAACTGTCTTTGTAACCTTGTTTTATTTATTTTTTAAAATAATAAAATGGTCAAATTAACACTAACCTAATGATAAATAATTTAAAATAAAGTTAGTGTAGAATGATATAATGATTTTTAAAAACAAAGGTGATAGGCACAAGAATTAAGAAAAGATCCTTTAAAAAAAAACAATGTTACAAAGACAGTTTGTGTGGAAATGTCTCAGTTGACATTGCCTGATTTAATGTTCACCTCAGGTTAAGACATTGAAAAGACTCGTGAATTCCTGATGTAGAAAACAGGAAGTAGAATGAATAAAATTGACTTTGAGTGCAGTCAGTTCAGTCAGAGAGTCAAGTGCTATCCTCTGGATGAGGCAATCAAGTATGATTTAAGTAGTAGCGACTTAGAAAGTCGAGTTGTAACTCTGAGTTAAGTAGTATCTTTTGGGCAGTTGAAGCCAGTGAACACTAGGTATATTCCTATTATTAGTTTTTCTCTACACTGAGAGTTGGATATGTATTATTGTTACCCGCTGTAGTGATGCGGACGTTACTCTTGGTTTATTCTATAACTAATCATCTTGGACATTCAATACCGCTGTTATGCAGATGTAATTATGTTTCACATCGGAAGTCTTGAAGTAACTGCCAATAAGGTGCAGTATTGTTATGATTGTCATTAAATAAACATTATATCTGTCTGCCAAAGAGAACTTGAGTTAATCTGTAATGTCTGTCACGTGTCAAGTGGGACTCCAGGAAGCACGAACCCAGCAGTCTACGCATTCGCGACACATTTGTAATGACCAGTCCAATGTGTAATAGTAATACAGCATTCTTCAACATTAAAATGTTTTACATGTTTCGGATGTTCCTTCAGAGTTGAAGATAATTACTTCCTAGTCCAAACCTCCCGCAGGACGACGGGGGATGGGAGCGGGCAGGGTTTGAACGCAAACCGCACGACCAGGCAGCCATCCATTACGCATTACAACGTTACACAATTTAATCTAACGTTGGCAGGAAACAAAAACTCAAAATCGGCCCCCATGGGCAGGTAAAAAGGCAGGTTTCAATATTTTCACAAAGAATATCAGAATAAAAGAATAAGGCAGATGACAGAAGAATGGAAAAAAAAGGGTTGATAAATCTTGTGTGGTGCCCCAGCTGACCAGGGGTTGGTGAAAGTGAAGAAGTTCGATGTGAACCTTTCCTAACTAATGTAACTTAATAATTATCTAATTGTTCTGTAAAGGGTCAATCTCTTATCTTATATAATACAGACGTTACTTCAAAAAAGATGATTACGTCCTACGCGTCATGCATATTAAGCAATGACTTAAATTCTGCCAAATCACTGGTTTTCCTGGCTAGCTCAGGCAACCCATTCCATGCTCTAATAGCACTAGGGAAGAAGGAGCATTTGTACAAATTTGTCCTAGCATATGGGACGAGGAATGCGCCTTTATCTTTGTGTCTTTCTGAGTATTTTATTAAATTTTGTATTTGAAGATTATGGTTCAGTGTTTTATGATTAATTGCTACTTTACTTTTGAGTCTTCTGTCCTGGAGGCTTTCTAAATTTAGTGATTTTACTAAAGGTTTTTATGTTGTCTTTCCATCGCTTTCTCTGTCTGCTTCTTCATCTTTTTCCTGGTACTGTTCCCTGAAGGAATGTCTTTGTGAGCTCTGAAGATCTTGTTATATGGGCAAAGATTTTAAGCTTCTTAAGAAAAAAAAAAAAAAAAAACTTCGCGTATTTCAGTAGCAATTTGTATAGCCTACTAGAATTCGATTCTACAAATACACCTAGTTAAGGACTACAGTCTAGTTACCAAGTAGATCTAGATCTGGGCCTAGGTGTGGGCATCTCTTTCCATACTATCTCACTACAAGTGGACTTCAAATTGAATCTAAATCTAACAAAGTTACATAGATAGTTTGTGTGGAAACACAAACTCCAAATCGGCCCCCGAAGTGGTCCACACAGGTAGGTAAAAAGGCAGGTTTCAATATTTTCAGAAAGAACATCAGAATGAAATTTTATCAAAGACAAATGACAGAAGAGTGGACAAAGAAGGTTGACAGATCTTGTGTGGTGCCCCAGAAGACTAAAGGATAGGCGAAAGTAAAGTTAGATGTGAAGCTGACCTAACTGATGTCTTATAATGAATATCTAATTGTTTTGTAAAGGGTCAATCGGTCAACCTCTTATTTAAATAAAAAAAAAAAAAATTTCCTTTAGTTAAGTGTTTTATAGGTATGATACAGCGCTGCAGTTCACTCGATAATGTGAAAAAACTAAATAATTGTTGTTTTAAATTATATCCTAAGTTTTATGCATACTAAATAGTTTTTTTTTCTCTTTAAAAAAAAGAAAAAGTAAACATTATTTTGTAAATGTAGTAGTTAGTATGACAGAAGTTACATAACTTAGCAATACTAATGTAAAAAAAATAATTTTTTTACAAAAAAATCTAAAACCATTTCCATAAATGTGTTAGAAATATAGTAAATGGGTGCCTCCTCTACTAAAGAGGCTCCCGTATTTGATACTATTAATAGTGAATAGTTGTAAAATTGGTGTATTTTTATGAAAAAAAAAACTGCCTGCATAAGTGATATAAAACATTCGATTTTTCACTTTCAGAAAATAAAATAAATAGTCATTGCATCAGAACTTTCAATGGTCTAAAATATTATGATGTCGGATTTTCACTATCTTTTCTAGGGACAGACATCCCACACAAAACTAATAGCTTTATTTCCCCTTTCGGGGGCCGCTTAAAAAAACAGCTCAAGTCATTTCTGTAGCGATTAACACAAAATATAAAGACCTACGTCTAGAATCTAGTAGTCTACTAGTACTAGCTATCAAGATCTTGATTACTGCCCTGTAATAGATGTATGCATCTCTTTGAAACAGACAAAATTAAATTCAAAGCTTTTTCCATGTTTTCAAGGTGGCTAAGAACCCTGTGTAAAGATAAACTCAGGCACCATTTCGCCCTCACTGGAATAAAAGAAAGTAGCAGTCAGCAGATGGCCTATGAAAGATACAATTGGAGTTAAGAGTTGGAGGCTGTGGGGCATACATTTGAGCAAAAGACAAAAAGAAAAAGACTGCCGGCAGACAGACAAAAGCAGTCTGCACGAGATGCAGAAAATTATGCAGGTCACAACTGGGTTTGCATTGTCAAATGAAACACTGCACTCATCAGTAATTGAAGGCAGCCATCAATTCATAAGGATTACCACAGAAATTCAAGATGATGATGTTTTGCTTGCATGAAAAAAAATTCAACACAAACATATAAATTTCAAGAAACATTTTTAAAAATTTGCTAATATTTTTAATAGTCAAAAAAAAAAAATAATAATTTCTGTACATGTGAATACACTATATCCAATGAGAAGTCGGTACTGTACATATGGAACAATGATATTTACAGGGTGATCTATATATATATACACAAGTTAGGACCTACAACAGAACTTAGTGGGGGAAGGGGCTAATAGTGGGTGGGCATTGTAAGGGGCACCATTCATGTTAAGAAATTAATATCAAAGAATTTAGTTAAGTCAAGGATTTTAAACCAAATTCATTTATAAACAATCTCTGTGCTTTCAAAGCTTAGTGATTACAATGTATATCTAGACCAGAAACTTAAGTCTCAACCAGCATTTAGTGTCCACCATATAGCTGAAAGTGGCAGTCAATCACATGCAGTCAACAAGCAATAGAAAACAAGTGAACAATGAAAAAAACAATTGGAACCAGAGCCAATAAATAGTTAAACAATTAAACAATGAGACTTCAAAATGTGGCATAAAGAAACCTAGCAACGGCTTCCACTGCAACACAAGCCATTGCTAGCAGTAGTGAAATTACAGGCTGGGATCAGTTTAAAACAATAACATAAAGGTCAATAATACTTCAAAAAGAAACAAGGTGATTTAAAAAGAAAAAAATGCATTAAAAAACATAATGGTATTGCAATGAAACAAAATAAATTAACATCAGCAGACATGATCAAACAATTAAGGAAAAAGAAAATTGAACATAACATGACATAGAGAACAGGGGAATGAATCAATGATGACATCCAGATCTCTTAAGTTGTCTGTCCTTTGCTGCCAGAATGATGTAATGTTAGCTCTGTTATCTCATGTGAAAGTTTTATTCTTAGTAGCATGATGATTATTCTGGTAGTAACTGTGGTCTTGTTTCCAGAAAACTGAATCTCGATTCTACAATAGATAGACAATTATACACTTTGTAAAATAGCCTTTTAATAAATAACAATATATAATTTTTATTGTAAGAGAATTTACTAAGACAAAAATGGTAGATTTCATTAGAATTTGAGTTTCTAGAAGTGCACATTACAAATATCTAAATGATATAGTCCAGCTAAAATACTATGTGAAATCTTGCTCTCTCTTAGAAATCATAAACAACAAAAAAAATTTTTAAAAAAAATAAAAAAATTTCAAACCAAAGTTGTTTTTAAGTCAACTTACTTTCTCAGATTGATATTTATCAGAGTGATACTGTTGAAATGGATTATATCCCCTTGAATATGTCATGTTCTCCGATACTTTTTTCACTTTCTTGACCTGAAATAGGGGAAAGAAAAAAACTTAGTGATACCATTGTCCTATTTAAGTATAATAACTTAGTGATACTATTCTCCTACACAAGCAAGTATAAAATAATTGAAATACATTCAATATCAGATGGTCCCTCCCTCTTTTCCTGTCCATTAGTCTGTGTGACCACTGGGGCACTACACATGATCTGACAACCTTCTCTCTCCACTCCTAGGTATCTTTGGCCAGCATTATTCTCTTCCATGGACAGACCCCCTTATATTAATATTTTTTTTCCTCCCATCACTTCTTTTGACTGCTTTCTTGTCCCCTGCAGAAAAGTGTTTGCAAGCCCTGAGAATCTTCTTATATGGTCATAGTCTTTCTTAACTTGTGCTTTCTTGAGTGGTCAGGGGGTCATTATGGAGTCATATCATCATTGTGATCTTGTTTCATATTTATTTGTAATGTAAAGATGTTAATAGGATCAAATTTATTACTTTATTCATTTGACTAACATTAAATGATATGATATTTTAAATCAACTACCGATGGACAATGCGGCTGCGCTGGATGTGGCAAAATAGGTTATGTCGTAGACATGGGAAATACTGCATTCTTCATTAATCTTTGGGCTAGATGACAAACCTAATTATTTAGCCATAATGCTTGGCTATGCCACAGAGTAGCTATCTACAATCCAAATGTATCATGCTTGTAGACCCAGCCAAGGCACTACCACTTGGCGCATGAGTAACAATTTTGGGATCACCATATGGAATTTCTTGGCATTTTAAATGAATTTCTCTGCAATACTCTAAAAAACACCTGAGATGAACTCCTATTGAAAAAACAGAGCAGGAAGGACTAATCCTCCCGTAGTGCTCTGGTAAGAAACTTAGCCGTTCGGCTTAATGCCTCGTAGCTACCATACAAGTCATGACTGCTCAGACAGGTCCCCCCCCCCCCCTAAAAAACACCAGAAGCTTTTCTGCAATCTAAGTCCACAAGCCACAATTAACAATGATGCCATCAATATTGTTCAATACCACAAACACATTTAATCAAACAAGCACAATTTTCCTAGGGTAACAGTACCAATCAAATGAAACCATCTTATCACCATGTGACCCCATTCTACAAGCACACCACCAAAATTGTTTTTTGAAACCAGCTCACCTTCCCAGAATCTATTTCCTCGTTGTATAATTCAGAGAACCGTCTCTTTTTGTTGTCTTTTTGAAAGTCATCGTCAATGTGGTTTTTACCTCCATCCCAGGACAAAACTAAGAAAAGAAAAAGTTCAGCACTTGCAAGTTTTTGTGAAATCTAAGGCATAACAATGATTTCGTAACTAAAAACAACTTTGTAACAGCGCTAAAAATGTTTGTATCAGCATTAGCTCTTTACAAGTTTTAAATTCATTATTTTTTCTTTGATAAAGTTTAAGAAACATTGCAATTTACAAATAACAGTTGAGAGACAGATAAGGAAAGAAAAGAGTCTTGTCTATTGTAGTAGAAGAATGAATAGAAATAACTTGATCAAGTCTAATTTGTCTAAATTTCCACACAAAGCACACCTTTCTTCAAAAACTAAACAGAAAAAAAAAACAACTTTAGCTTACCATTTTTGCCTAAAGAAAAGCTGCTACTTTCTGAGTCTAAATGTGAACCAGAAGACCGGGATCCATCCCAAACATTCTTGGCCTTTACATCACTGTCATCTTTTTTGGGAGCAACATCATCTTTGACATGATGATTCCAGGTCTGTACAGTAACTAGAGAAACATCACCAGCATTAAACTTAAATCATAGATAGAAATACAAACTGTAACATTAGATCTTAGGAATTATTTCTAGTTTAGCTTCATCTGCAATATGAAACAAAAATAAACATGAGAAGATCTCTCCCTACACTAGAGTTAGGAGGCATTGCCTTCCCCTCGAGATAATGTTATTGCTAAAATGATTCCCCCCTTTTAACTTTTAGACAATACATTTGGTGAAAACTAGAATTAGAAAAAAAAAAAAAAGTAAAGCTGGCAATTTATTTTGTTGAACATGGTATTCAGTTTTCTTGTTGATTTTCCCACCAAAATTTCTTAATAACAAATTTATTCAAGCAAAAAGATAGAGTACAAGACAAATACTTAGAAAAAAGTTATCTACTTAAAAGTTTGTCTCACCAGGTCCAGTTTTAGGTTGGATGAGTCCTGCGGTTTCTTTTGTCTTCTCTACCCACTCATAGTCCTCTTCACTGTCACTAGCTGAGGAGGACGAAGATGAGGACCTAGAATACTTGCGCTTCTTTCTTTCAGGCAAGTCATAGTCAAAACTCTTTCTTTCTTTTTCCCTCTTTCTTTTCTTCTCTTTATGTTTTTTCTTTTTTTTAGAATGATCTTTTCTTTTTCTATCTTCATCCGAGGATGATTTCAGTTTTTTCTTCTTGTGCTTCTTTGCTTTCTTAGTGCTACTGTGAGAGGACTGGGGGCTGTGAAGGGGGCTGACCAGTGGCGCTACCTTATCTGTAGGCTCCTTACATTTCATTGCTGTGGTTACTTCTTGACCTTTGGGCATGGACTTTATTCCACATTCAGGATTTCTGTTCTTTATTTCTGGAAATACAATTTGAATGAAATTTTATTAGCTGACTATAAGAAGGTATTGGGCAGAGGAAGAAAAAAAAAATATGCATTTGTTTTTACTTTGTTAACAATGTCAATGCTTTGAATAAAATTATACATTTTTTAAAAAATATTTTGTTTACATACACACATGAACACATTTCTGACATGTTTTAGGGTTTATGGAGTAAGAGGTTGGTGAAATGAAGAAGATAATAAACAATCAATGCTGCACAGTTGGGAAAGTTGTAGCAACATATCTAGATAATAGTTGCTTGTTGAATCTAAGGTTCGAAGATAGCGTGACACTTTTCAAGTCTTATATCTAAAAAGGTTTTTGTTAAAGTAATCCTCGCAAGTTAAATATCACAAAGATATTAGTTGTGACATGGTAACAAGACAGTCTTACCCTTTGACTCTACAGTCCACTCTGTTGTTGAATTTACACTATTGGCACTACTACAAGAACTTCTGGGGCTTGGGGCACAGTCCTGGGACTGGATTAACCAGTTCCCTCCAGTAGATCTGACTTTAGGGCAGCTGTTTGATGATGAGGCAGTGATGCCCGCAGCAGACAACTCAACCGTCACAGGGCCATTTTTTGTGATCCCAGGGAGTGTGGCTGCAGCAGCAGAAATGTTTTTAAATGAACCTTTCAATGTCACTTCTGAGGAATGTTTTGAGGGCTCCACAGATTGCAAGTTAGAGGTAGATGAGGTGTGTGATGATGAGGCCAACAAAGGTTTTGATGCTGGTGCATCACCCATTTCTGTTATAGGTCTCATTTCGTGGTTAGTTGAAGGAAAGTTAATTTTTCTTATACTGGTTTGTGGATTGTCACCTGATTTGTCATTTGACATGACAAATTTTGTCGATTCTTTAGTTGAGGAAACAGATTTCAATGCCCCAGTAGACACGTTGTCTTGCTCCGAGTCAGAGTCACTGTTATATGGGACAAGTCCTAGAGATTGTTGAGATTGTTGCGTGCCCCCATGATTGACCACCTTGGACTTGCCGTCAGGTGACTTCTCCATGGTGGTAGAGTTGCCATGTTTGATTTGAAGCACAATCCTTTTCCCATCCTCTTGTTGCTGAAAGAGTTTCTTTTGAGATGTCGTGAGAATAGGGAAAGATATTTTAGTGTAGACCCCTGGCAAGGCACTACCACTTGGGGCATGAGGAACAATTTTGGATTCACTGGATGAAATCTCCTGGCGTTTTAAAGGAGTTCCAACATCACTGCTTGATTTGCCTGACAAATAGAAACATAAACCATTAAACAAACTGAAAGTCATTAGATTTTGAATAGAGAGAAGCATCTAGTGACGAAAAATAATACAGTTCCCCTTTCAGACCTTGCAATCTATGGGAAGGATGATGCAAAGGTCATTTGCTTCTGTGGCCTACATTAATGAGGGTGTCATGTAGAAAGCACAATGACTAATCAATCCCTTTGCTTTTCCCCAACCACTGTCAGGTACTCATTAGAGTTGGGTGTATTCAGGGATGCCTAAAAAAAATTTATCAAAATCCAGTTCTTCACTAGAATTTGAACCCAAGGCTCCATGGTTTGAAACCAAAGTATTTTTTTAAATAATTACAATTCGAACAGCACTGTTAACAAAAGCCCAATGTAGGTTTAAAAGTACTTTGAGAATGTAATAGACATTTAACAGTTTAAATGGCAATGTTTGGATAAAAAAGGTCTTAGTTTTCTTTTAGAATATCAGGAAACAGATGGTCTGAGCCTTTGATCCATGTACTGGAAAAGACTTTAGTCTTAAGTTTTTAAAAGGAAATCACAGCACTAGTAGAAAAGTTGAGTCCATAGAGAGGAAAGATCTCAAAAGGGCATACAAGATAAGAG